AGTTAGAGAACCACTGGAAAACCTGGGAGTACTGGACAGCTGTTTCGTCCTAGTTTGGGACTCTTCAGCAGTACGCGTATAATAATATTCATGGGACTGAACAAGTAGAGCACACAGATGTTAATGAAAACAATCATTCACGAAAATGTTTCTTCTAACTAATACCTTATGGTAATTATATAATAATAAAGACATGAAAACTTAATATGAGAAAGGAGTGATAAGACCTAACACATGCATACTGTCAGTTCCTTTCTTATCTATCCTATATCACTGCTTCATTCGTCTTCAGTTTAATACTACTCATTAATAATAGGTAGTATAAGTTTACACTTTACTTACCAACTCGTTACTCTGTAACCATAATTAATGATTCCCTTCCAAGTTTATCCCATTTATTGCTTCAACATTCTGTTCGCACTATAGCATTTATCTTATTATGATTAAACCTTATCGACTGCGCACATCATCTTTATGTTCGACTCTCCAATGAACAGTATTTATTCGAATCCTCTTATTCTTGATCAATACGTTCGTGTGTCGTTGTTTACTAACCGAGGATCACTTTTGGCAGAGCTCTGCTGTTTCTCCTTATTTACGTATAGCCACACTGTTTCTGATGGTATTCAGCCTAGATATCTTACAATTTGTTAATTCTATATATTTTTATACGTAATATACTCCTGTGTTTTGGATTTTTGCGCGTAACTCAAACGTTTAGTTTAAGTAATCGCAAGTTCGATTGCAAAATATCGCTATGGATTTGGTAGGAGAAACCTACACATAACTACATACCTGCATAAATATGTACCTACACCATGATACGCTGGAGAGGCAAATAAAAAAATAGACTAGCAAATACAACCCATCTAAAAAACATAACAGCACCATGAATTATAGTCTACGCTACAGATCGCCTCTATTATTTGAGACGGTGTCACATACCAGTTACGCAGTCATTAAACTTTTACATTTGAAGTATATTTTTTCAAGTCATTGAAAATTAATTGTTCACATTATTAAGGGACTTTGTGCATGAGCAACGTAACTGCCTATCTTAATTGAAGCAAAAGTATACCACATCAAGATATCTTACAATAAGATAGGTTAAATTAAACTGGTGAGGGAAAGTTGGATTGCTTATTTATACACTGACTTTTTCTTCTAATTTCTGTCCAGTTCAACAAATGTTATCAATGCTTTTAATGAACTGAACAGATTGCATACTTTTAAAAAATACTAAAGTAACCAGAAGTGATCTGGTAATATAGTATGAATCTGTAGTAGCCATCCTATTTTATTTGTGCTAATAGATCACATGCTTCATCTTCATATCGCTTTTAAGTAAATGAATTGTTGGCTGGTTGATCCAAATTTCGTGTTAGCACGAAATCTCTGCTCTAATTTCTAGTTAACTCCTGGTCTTATGCTATCCAATGAAACTCGGTACAATAGATTCGTTTTGGCATTTTCATACAAATAGCTTACCCCTATTTTTTTGGCTAAAACTCTATACATTCTTACCATGCAGACTCCTAAATGCACTGTTTTAGCCATGATTATAAATGGGTCTTTTGTCTAATCTGTGCACAAAAATACCCGTGATGGCTTTTAAATAGGTAATCCGTTTCATCCAATGTAAATGCTGTTGAAAATTGAGTGGATTTGTTTATTCGAACTAGTGGCTCAGATATTTGCCCGTTGACAGAAGATCGGGCAATACAATCAGAAGTATTAAGGTATATTATATTGTAGACTTTTTAGTGTAATAATAGTAATCACCTGTGAATCGTATGGTCAGTCTGCTGTGCAATCAACTTGGTCTGTTGATTATACTCCATCCACCAATAAATCTTCGACTTACCGTCCGTCTTTTAATACTACTTGCGTTGAAATCTAGTTGGTTATTATATACATGAAATAATAATCTGAGTTCCGGAAAGTTGTTTTCTGGTTAGAGCAAATTTCTCTGATACCGTTATTTATACACAAAGTGATCTAAATTTCAAGCATATTTCAGCTTGCATAGCAATTAGTGGAGTAAACGTAAGCAGATTCATCATTTTTGTGTTCTTCTCTGGTTTGATTCAACTGGAAGTTCTAATAGTCATGTTCAGTAGAACTGATGTTGAAACCAATTAATAATGTCACTGACAGCCTTTCATAAAAAGCAAAGCCTTTGTCATGATCTGCACGACAGCATTTAAGGAATTACGCTGCTTCGTAAAGTAAAGCAGATGTAATAAGGCGTGCCCTATATTTTTCGATTACATTTTCAGTCTTACTTATCCTTTTTTGCCTGCTCCATGTATCACTACTTTACTCTTCCTGTATTATCCAGTTATGGACGCTCTAGAGATGATGGGGATGACATTTGCTTCGAGTACGTGTGTACAACACTTGTTCTTATGTCCTCACCTCCTACAGTATTCATTGTGCGTAGTCCAAAGTTAAGTATTGTAGGTATAAGAACTTGCGTTGTACAAATCGTATTTAGCGTAAACGTCATATCTTTCATCTCCTAAGCTGATGAGCCCGACATGATTCCCTTGTTGAATACCTGTATGAAGTTGAGTCCAGAGGGTAAGTGGGTGGTCTCTAAAAGTTGTGAATTCACGACCCTCCACTCAGTGTCGGAAGTGTAGTATAACACGGCGTATGACCGGAAGTTCTCTGCCGAATGTGCTGTATTTTGTTTTTGCTGTTTGTATCCTACTCGAGAAAAAGGCTAGTCCTGTCTGATCAGTTGTTGCAGAACTTCACCGGTTGCGGTGACTGATGCATCAACCAAGGTACTTAAGAGCGTCTTTGTATCCTTACACATAAGTAGTGTGGGATCCTCTATTTTTTTCACTCGACAGAAGCATTCTCCCCAGACGCGCTAAGGTCGAAGGTCTGTCGGTGGCTAAATTAAAGAGTCACAGTCAGAAATAAGACGTCGGTAATAACATACCAAACCATTAAAAGTGGGGGGATTTTTCACAATCTTCGTCCCCGGAAAGTCTCAACTTGCCCCAACCTTTCTGATTAGCGGGCAGATACTCTTGCAGTCAATGATGCGGTTAAGAAAGTATGGTGATTCTACCCCTGTCTGACGTTTTTGGGGATAAGTGGTAACATCAAGTCGGCGTAACTTATCAAAGGTGCACTTTTATTTTTATTCGCAATGACGTAGTCGTCTGTGTCGTCGAGAAAGAACAAAGCTTTATTGATGAAGCTTTGCAATATATGCATTGCGTACATCAAACCGAATGGCATGCGTAGGAATTCGTACAGTTCAAAAGGCTTAGTGATAGCTGCTTTCGGATCGTCTTCTGGTGCCATAGGAATTTGGTTGTACACCTTAACTGGGTATATTTTCAAAAAATAACCGCACCAAATAATGTTGCCGTCAAGTCATGTATATGCAGCGATGGATGGTAGTATGGGATAGTTTTGGCTCTCCGTCTTCTGTAATTACCAGTGGGTCACCAATCGTTGCTATCTTTCTTCGATACTGTATAGAGTGAGGGTGTCCGTTGGCTACTGGACAGCTGAACAATGCCATTATGAACATATAGTCGAATGAGTTTTTCAACATTACTGGTTATGCACGGCAAATCATCTGAAGGGTAATCAAGCTTTAGGTGCTTGTCAACAGTCAGCTGAAAAGTGGAATCATCTATTGCCTTCTTAATCATTGAAAAGGTTTGACCAACCTATGTGATCCCTACAACAGACAGTCTAGTATTACCGCATATCAGCAGTCGTTGGTGGACATCCACGAGTAGGTCATGGCAGTTAAGTAGATCCCTGCCTATGTTAGGCCTAGTAACTTCAGTAAAAGGGAAAATTCACCGAACGGTTAACATGGATCTACATTCAGATAGACGTAATTCTCAAGGAAATTTGCCATGGGTTGTCTATCTACAGCCTGTAAGCTGAAGGCAGGTTCATTTTAGATATTCACATCTGTTGTTGGAGGGCTGCTGACTTTACCACCCGTTTTAAACAAGTTTTAGGCTTTACTTACTACAGCTCGGATGGAAAGTAGGCGGCGAATTTCTCCGGCTGCAGTTACCACTGGTGTGTGTCTGAAAAGTGGTTTCTCAAATTGTTTGGATCCTTTTCAAAATTGCAGGGTTTTCGGCAACACTTAGATTCGGGCCACATGAATCATAATACCAACACCATTGAGGGTTCTTAGGTTAACGTGTGTTGGATTTTGGTTGACTGCTTGAATTACTACTTTGAGATGATTTTCACTGTCAGTAAAGAACAAGGTGAGGGTTGCCTGAATTAAGAAGGCGCCTAACAGATTTAAATAACTCTACCGTTTCTCAGTTACTACTCAGAGATTTTCCACTGATCCAGCACATTTGAGTAACTGGCCACTGCGATATTTACAGAAGTCTACTTGCCGAAACAGCTTAGTCATCGATGGTGACCCCTTGTAGTGCCAAAAGCGCAGCCTACACTGACCAAAGAAACTTAGATAGGAACAACTCCCTAAAGAATCCCTCGTCAAATTTCCGTTGGCCGATAACTTCTCTCATTCGTGAAAGCATATGTCCAGTTGTATGGTTGCCTACCATGGCGCTGAGGAAGAGTTTTTCAAGACGCTGCCTATCCAAGAGATCATTTCCTCCAAAGGACGTCTACTTTGAGCGTTTTGCGAGGCCTATTCACCTTCAAGGAGAATATATCTGCGGTAAAAGAGCACATATGACTGCCTAGAATCGTTTGCGCTTTTATCAAATTAGATGACGTTCTCTGTAAGCCTTTTTGAGACCCGTCTGGATAACTGTTCTGCGACACATCACCATCAGTCATATCAACAAAACTTTCCTAGAACTAATCACTACGATACATTTCGTCATTCTATTGTAAGAAAATGAGTTGAAATAATTTTGGTGTTTACCAGATAGCTAAAGTTGTGCCTTAGCAATCATCTGTGTTCAGAGTGTATAAAATATTGAAATCGAAATCGGTCCCCATCTGGATCACTCACATAACCTTGACACATACGCGCCCTTTCCAAAAATGTGAGTGGTTGTAGTGTTGACAGTACAAGTAAAGTGATTTCTTTGTTGTCCTAAATATACGTGATCGAGAATTCGGTCCACAGTTATGAATATGCGATATTTAATTCTGTGGTCCTTGAATAATGTATTTTAAAGGTTTAGATCCAGTGAATTTAGGCTTCTTCATCTATGGTTGAAGAGAATGCACTTGGGTAATGTGGGCAAAACGTGGAGTTTTGATCGGCAAAGACGTGGGTAAAAGGGTGCTAAATGCTACTTAATTTACCCACTTTGCCCTTAATGGACATTTTTCCCTGTGTGCCCATGTCCCGAAAAATTTCATTGTCCAACTAGACCCATGTTACAACCGAAAACAGGCCACTTTTTCCCACTTTGCCCAATTTCGAACGGAAAACTGCTAACGTTCTTACCCGCATATCCCAGGTCTAAAAATTCTCCGACTGGATAGTTTTTGTCTGGCTGACATGCATGTCATGTACAGCGTCTTGCTATTTACTCGTGACCGACTTAACCGAACAAACAGTAAATCACTGACATAGTATGGATGAAGAAGCAGCAGTAAAAATGTGGAGCACTCGATTGCTATAGCATAGCTATAGTCATTTTACATTCTTTTGTTTCCTTCGTCTACCCACCAGTTAAAATCGCGCGATAATTCTTTTGTGGATTCAACTTGAACACTAGCCTTGTATGTTGGAAAGCCTACCCAACTAGACTATGTGTGTTTGACGAAATGTACGCGTCCTTTCCACAGTTGTGATTCTGATCACTCGGTGTCTTATTCTCGAATTTACTTATGATATAAATACCGAATTTAACCGTAATACATGTTAAAAACGGCCTGAAACTTTTGTCAGCGTTCCTTGTTTCTTTCAGAAATGTTAATGTCTCCTGACTCTACTTGACTTTTCGTCCATTTTCATTTCGTATAAGTTCTTTTAAAAATCATTTTATCCAACATTTGAAATCGTTTCGACGAGCCGGCGTAATTCAGAAATAATTTCTTTCGCTTGGTTTTTGGTTGTAAGTTGGAGATTCCTGAACTCCGTTAAACTTTTGCGTAGAATATCCCACCACTTGTCTATCGTAGCTCTTGTTGACTCCAACAGGAGTGGTGAGGGGATTAGTTATATGTAGTTTGTAGTATGCGATGTGTTAAGACCGCGTCGCTGCTGTGAATGGAGTTGATGCGTACACGTGTTAGTCTTAAGGTTTGGTCGAAGCAATATAATAATAAGTTAGTGTAGATTATTTAGACCTAAAAAGTAAAACGTACAAATAGATAAGTAATGAAATCTGATAGTTGAAAAGAATAGAAATGATTAAAAATAATAATAATGAAACAAATGAATGGATGATGGGTAGTCAGTAGAGTGAGAATGGGCAGTGGTAAAGGACGAGTTTAGATGCATGTCAGTTAACAGTGTGGTGTATACTTTAAGGGAATATACCATTTGGACACAGTCCTTGTGTCGCTGCAAGGTGATCTAGCCTTCGCTTAAAGCTTTCCATAGACGTTACAGTAGCCACAGCTACTGGTTGGGTTCTTGGGTAGGCAAACTCGAAACGAAAAGAAGTGGGATCACGCTCGAATCTCCTCTCTCTGATGCGCTATCCTCAATGGGCTGCTACGAGTAATCCGTGATCAATTATTAGCAGAATACCTCTGTTTGGCTGATCCAGGTCATTTGTAATCGATGTCGAGCTTCCGAATTTATTTGTATGCTTCAACTCGAACATTGGACGTGATCAATTATTAGCAGAATACCTTTGTTTGGCGGTCAGGTCATTAATCGATGTGGTTCCGAATTTATTTGATGCTTCAACTCGAACATTGGATTTTTGTGAAATAAGGTGCATTTAGAGCTCTTGATGAAGCTGTATACAGCGGAGCGTTTAGCTTCACGGTCTAAAATACGTCAAATCAATAGGGAGCTTAGTCGCTTTACATTTGTTAAGTAACTCTCTTGATAAACACTGGTTACTTTTAAATAGCATATGTCGTGACTCACGCTAACAATGTCTTTGTTCAAAATTAGTTCGTTTTGTTTTTTATCTGTGCTGCAGTCGCTTTTCCGCGCATCTTTCATAAATCTGTCGTATTAATTTGGACTTTGACAATTCAATTACTTTACTCGACCCTTATCTTACAGTAATTTTCCTAATATGAACACTGAAATGTTGAAATCATCGTAGAGCTTTCATTTTGATTTCTGCTATTGTTGATAAATACTACTTTTGCCACCAGCCGATTGATATTATCATCGTTTCTGTTAATTATCTGATCCCAGCATTCATTTCTGATTCACAAATCATTATAGTTAAATTTAAACATTTGTAACGCTGTGTATTTGAACAGAGCCTAAAAACAAAAATAATCGTCTAGTGTCGTACTCTGAAATTTGATTTTAGTAGTTGAAATAATGCCATTTGGATGGCCTGAGAGCTGATAACTTCAGTGATTTTTAAAGGCTTAATGTTTCTCATGCTCAGCCCCCCTTATTAATAGTCAATGTTAAATCAACTATATTAAAATCAGCTCTCTTTCAGTGGGTATATTACATTTAAACTGCAGAAGTTTTATCTTTTGCTTTGATAATCCTTTCCTAAGAGTTAAAAATAAGTTACAAACATATTTACTTGAACAAAAATCACATTGTTTCATTTATTTTACTAGTATCTGTATTGGCCTGTTGACTCATGTTTTTTTCTGTCTTAGTTTAATAATGGCACGGAATCTTCAAGGTCTTCTTCGCCTTGCTGTTGAAAACTCTGAGGATGCACCAACAGAAGTCAGAGACCCTAAGGTAATACTGCTCTCTCTCTCTCCCTTATGGTCGATCCGTACAAAATAGGATGCCGCATGGTTAAAAGAAGCACTGACGGCACATACTGTCGATTTAGGTAAACAATTAACTGAAGACGTTCAGAGGTTATCATCACTTTTATCATCATCGGAGCCTGATTTAAATGAAATGAAGGAAATTATGGAAGATCTATTAACCCTAACTGAAGACCTAGACCTTTCAAATGACTTTTCAGTTATTGGGGGTCAAGATGTTCTACTTAAATTGTTGTTTTGTGGACCACACTCTTTAAGAACAGATGCACTACGCTTACTTGCGAATCTCACACAAAACAACCCTAAAGCTCAAAGTATATACACTCAAAACGGAGTTTTAGCGCGGTTGATTTTACTCGTTGAAGAGGAAAATGATCTTGAATTCTTAAGGTATTTGTTTTTGGCTATTTCATGTAAGTTCATTTTTGCTTACTAACCTTCTTCCTCTCTAGTACGAAATGTTACTAACAAGTTTATGATTGTATGATATATGCTTTTCAAAATTTGGCAGTAACATACTGTACATGTAGGCTTTGTTAATGTTAGAATGACAACATAACGCAGAATTAGCGAGTAAGGAGCGGTAAAATTTGTTAGGTGTGTACTAAACCCATCAGTTCTTGACTGAGATACCTAATTCACTTGGAAAAATATTTTTTATGAAATCAAGTGGGGAGCGAACAGTCAGTCAAACAACTCAGAGTTGATTTCTCACTAGTTAACTATTGCAATTCAAAATCAAATCAATTTGAATCTCAATGATGTTAAGTGTAATCTATGACAGGACACTGATATCAAAAATGCTTCTCCAAACTGTTGCTTAATTGCTGTTGGCTTTAAATAATGGCAATCCTCATGATATTCTATTTCGCTAAAAAAGAGGATCTTATTTTTATATCATTTAAGTGATGGGTTTTCCTTTTTATTCAAAACGCGTTGTTACTTAATTTTTAATTCACACTAATATGACTTGTCCACATTTTATGGTATGATAAAATTCTGTCAGTAATATATACCATCAAGATGTCCAATCTTACTTCAATACTGGTCTTTAGTCATACCACATTTTAATTATGGAAGGTGAAATGACTCAGTGCGTCGACCATTTTAGTTGGTATATTCGCGGAGACTTCGAATATCCAGCTGACAGAAGTTGGGATTCATAGACCATTGGGTCGGGTCCCGGTATCTGAATAGTCTACGATCTCGCCTCGTAGCCAGAAGTTCCTGAGTTCGAACCATGGTGGGTGCGTACTATTGAAGAGTCATGATATGGGACGAAACAGCCGTCCAGTGCTCCCAGGTTTTCCAATGGTTGTCCGACTGATGTCAGCTCTTGATCAATCTTGTAACCAATGAAACCCCTGCAAACCAATACTTGATAAATATCCAGCTGCTGTCATAACACTATCCCCATTTAGTGGGACAACAGGAGCAGTTAAGCTGTTGGGCGTAGGCTCTTTGGTATGAGAAGTACATTAGTCGACGAATTTGCGCACCTCTGTGAGTTGACGCATCCTTAGCATCTGTTACGCGTGTCCGTCCCGATATGCTATTTTGGTGAGTGTTTAGATTAACAAAAGAAACGATGACCATATCATAAAGTATTACCATCACGAAGTCATTTACGCTTTGTAGTTGTCGTTTCAGTTTTTGTATCTTTTATGTTACCTTCTATTTGTGACATCATCCACTGTTAAGCAGCAATGTTAGGTCTTATGTCTGTTATACTGTTAGTTCAAGGATAAGGAGTAAAAAGGTTAAACATGTTGACCATTCCACCTCCTTGGGAAGTTGCAAAAACCCTAATGGAAAGATTGCTGCCAAAATCATAGTATGGCTGAAAAACCTCGTTTGGCATTTGTCAATTTGCATCATCCTTGGTGTGATATCTGGCGATTCATCAGTTTACTCTGTCCTACTTTGTGACTATGAGGCACGAGAACAAAAGGTGAAATATACAAAAACGTTAGTTTTTTCTTTACTATGTGTTCCTCTGTTTATTCTCGCATGTTAGGTGAAGTCCAGCCTTATTACTAACTGTACGGTCAGTTATAATAAGGTTAGACGTAGCACGCCAGGTGAGAATGGAAACGTAGTCATTAAGGCTGGGAGTCTTCTACTTATGTTACGTATATCTAGCTATCGCTTTTCTCAGCCAGTAGTGTTAGGTGGCAACTTCAAACACAAGGAGAGACACTGTTTGACCTGGCGACCACCATCATCAAATCAACGCTGGACACAAATAGACCACATAGCAATAAGCTATCGTTGGCGTGGGTCGGTAGGAGATTGTCGCTCCTTCTGGAACACGTGTGTAGATACCGATCACGCACTGGTCCGCGCTCGTGTGTGCTTACGACTGAACGGACGTAGGAAACAGCTGGCGGTAAACCCATCACGTCCCCAGCTCGACCAGGGAACTAAGTCCCTATTTGAGGAAGAACTAGCTAAACACATATCTGAGTTTGACAGCTGCGCGCACCCTGAAGAAGCCTGGAAGAATATTCAGTCAGCCATAGATACAGCTGTAAAAGCTGTAAATAAGGTAAATCCAAAGGTGAGTAAAAACCATTGGATTTCGACTGCCTCATCCGAACTGATAGATGCTAGAAGACTTATTCCGGCGAGCTCCGAATTCAATGAGGAGCGAAAGCTGCACAAGAGGAAACTTACGAAAAGTCTCCGCAAGGACCGTGAACAGTGGTGGTTGACAAAGGCGAAAGAGATGGAAAAAGCATCGGCGATAGGCAACACCAGACAACTATTCAGGCTTATCAGGGAAACAGGTGGTAAAAAACAAATGATAAGCGAAACAATCTCCGAGAAAAATGGCACCATAATTAGCTCCCAGGATAGACGTCTGGAGCGCTGGAAAGAACACTATGAGGAGCAGTTTAATTGGCCCACAGCCACACTTAACCTACCGGACATCCAACACCTCCCTGAATGGGAGATAGACACAGGTCCTCCGTCCTTAACCGAGGTTACTAAAGCTGTCACCAATCTGAAGCTAGGCAAAGCAGCGGGACCTGATTTATTGACTCCAGAGGTATTTAAGTACGGAGGCGACTGTTTACTGTCTGCGTTAACGGAGGTTCTAGGCAGCGTCTGGAAATCAGAGGAAGTCCCATCGGGTTGGTGTAAGTCACTGATCATCCCGATATACAAGAAGGGGGACAAGTCGTCTTGTGATAATCACAGAGGGATTAGCTTGACTAATATAGTATCTAAAATCCTAGGCTCAATAATACTGCGTAGATTAAGTGGTGCTCGGGAGACAGAAACACGAGAAAACCAGGCAGGTTTTAGGCCAGGTAGAGGGTGTATTGATCACATCTTCACCCTTCGACAGATTCTAGAACATAGGCATTCCTACCGGCGTCCGACAATCATTATATTTCTTGACCTAAAGGCGGAATTCGATTCTGTCGACCGGGAGGTTCTCTGGCGATGCTTGGCTGTAAAGGGAATGCCAAGAAAATACATTGCACTGATTAAGGCACTCTACTCGTACTCATGCAGCCAGGTGAGGGCTTATGGCGAGTTGTCATCTGAAGTGGTGACGACTAGTGGCGTCCGTCAAGGATGCCCATTATCCCCATTCCTATTCAATTTCATCATAGATATACTAATGGACTTAACCCTAACTCACTTCAGCGACTCAGGGATTGACTTGCTACCAGGGAAGAATCTCGTTGACTTAGAATATGCGGACGATATAGTCCTTCTAGGCGAGGACTCTGACAAAATGCAGAGTCTACTGAACACCCTGAGCAACAATCTCCGCATGTTTGGCATGCGATTCGCCCCTATAAAATGTAAGATGATGCTGCAGGATTGGACTTCATCGACCCCTAGATTAGAAATAGGAAGTGAAGTGGTAGAACACGTTGATAGCTTCACTTACTTGGGAAGTACCATCAGCCCCAACGGGTTGATCTCCGACGAAATTTCAGCACGAATACAGAGGGCTAGGTTCGCATTCGCCAGTTTTCGCCGTCTCTGGCGTAGACGCGATATCCGACTATCGACCAAAGGGCGTGTGTACTGCTCAACAGTCCGCTCCGTCCTCCTTTATGGCTGTGAGACCTGGCCATTGAGAGCAGACGGCATGAAAAGATTAGCTGTCTTCGATCATAAGTGTCTGCGTTCTATCTCCCGCGTGAAGTGGTATAATAAGGGGAGCAATATTGAGGTTAGGCGTCGAGTGCTAGGTAAGGCGGGGAAATCAATCGACGAGACTGTGAAATTACTTCGACTGAGATGGTTAGGACATGTGCTACGTATGCCTAGTCATCGCCTTCCTCGACGGGCAATGTTAGCTGATATAGGGTCAGGCTGGAAAAGAGCTAGCGGCGGTCAAACCAAAACATGGCACCAATCAATGAAATCCACAACAGTTAATCTAAGCCACGTAGGAAGATGTAGACTTCCTGGTTGGGGCCCTCGGGATGGTAAAAACCAATGGTTGGAAACAATTGGTGACATGGCTCAAAATCGTTCTCAGTGGCGCAGATGCATCCACTCCTTGTGACTTATGATTTCCAATTAAACTGTTTTGTTCTTCGTTATTGTTATTCCTTTGTCTCACACCTCTGTTTACTGTCTATATTATGCATTTCTCCTACTTTCTTCTCTTGCTTTGCGTGCTACATAGATTGTGGCGACTTGAACAGATGCACATATGTGCAAAGTTCTATGTCGAAAACCGACCGAGTGTAAGGTGGCATAATACTACTTCACAAATGGTCAGAACAAAACATGACACAAGTCTATGAAGTCTTTCTTAGTTAGTTTAAGCCAAATAGGGGGGGGGGTTAGTGTAGACTGCTCATTAAGATTTTGCAAGAGACTGATAGCAATATAGTTCAGTGTCTTTCACAATCGTGCACATACATTTATTACTTATTCCCTTCTGGATCCTAAAAACCTTCATTAATGTCTACTTAATTACTCATCATTATCCATTCAAGTTTCATTACATTTCTCTCCTCTGCTTTGTGGTAATGTGACTTATTAACTTCAGCGTTTGCTTCCAGCCAATTAGTCCCTGACTTAAATCCAGTCCCACCTATTGCAGCTTGTACAACTGGGCAGTATCTTCAGCTCATAACCTCATACGTGAAAAATGTGTTCCGGGTAACTGATTTCTGACTCAGTCCCTTTTTTACATTTATGTTTGACTTTAAATTATAGGAACTTTTGTGCAAAGTTCTACGTTTAGAAGTCAACAAGTCGATAATTTTTTTTTTGAATTGGGGTATTCTTTTCTCAGTTGAACTAATAAAAATAATAAGGTTCAAATAATCTCAGATCATAGGATATAATTATTCAGTCGTTGAGTTAAAAACGAAAGACTTAGAATCATTCACCATGAAATTTCAAAGGCTCTGATATCATGCAGGTTTGTATCCCTCCATAAGAATGGAATGAACTTAAGTAGGAACACTTACTGTTGTATTTAAGCACAAACTAAGCGCAACATACAAAAGAAAGAAAAATAATTAAAGAACAACTAATTAGACAATTAAGTATGCGCATGAAAAACATCTAACAGCCGTCGTGACTTTTTATTATTTTTCAAAAGACAAAGAAGGCTACAGTACGACGAGTACTGATTTCAATTTTTGAGTCATATGCAATAACTTCTCGAGACACAGTTATGTAAATTCAGTCCAAAATTATCGAGAGTATTTATGAAGAGACTTCTACCACTGATTAGTCAAGGTCAAGTTTGTTTGACGTCCTGGTGATACGTACTATAGGATTGATCCCTAGTGGTATCGCGTTGTTGGCTTAGAGGTAGAATCCTTGCCAACCACGCATGTGGTCCGGAGTTCGATCCCTGGTCGACGCATTCCTTTACCTCGCTAAACCGGTAACATGACCGGTAAAGAGGGAGGGAGGTTAGCATCCCTAACCCGTGGCAAAAAACACCACTGCTACCGAAACTTCAAAGCTCTAGCTTGAAGTCCTATTATGGTGGTGTGATACTGCATTAGCAACAGAATACGATATATCTATTTGAACCTTCTGTTTGTTGCTAGAGTCAATATTATTATTTCCACAGTTCAATACTGCATTAGCAACAGAATACTATGTGTGTATTTGAACATTCTGTTTCATGTCGTTTAGTGTAAGCTAAATTCACACGCTCAGTGACTGGTTAAAGAATATAAACTGTACAAATATAAACAGCTGTTTGATCACTTGAAAATATACCTTGGCTTTTGTGTCTTGCCTTCTGCTATTACACCATGATCCACTGGGATCTTAATAAAAAAAACTCATAAAATCTACCACTGAGCGTTTTTCGAATCCCATACGAGACGGTACCACAGTTCACATCATCTCAGCTTTCAAATCTATGAAGTAATAAATGATGTCCAATATCATAATTCTTGTAATTTCGTGTTTAAAATTCGTGACAATCTTCTATATTCTCTAACTACTGTTAACAGGTCTTACACGAGGTTATGCAGCAGGCATTTCAATTTTTATGGAATCCAACGGTATCAATCTTCTTCTCGGTGCTCTTATCAAACAAGCAGAAACTGAAAAAACAGAAGATCTTCTGCGTCTGGTAGACAGAGGCGCATTTCTAATTTATTGTGTATTACAAGGATTGTCTCCTAATAATTTGCGTAAGTTTTCTGTCAGGCTATTCTGTAGTTTTTGTAAAAAAATACCTGGCAACAGGAATTCATCGCCATGTTATGCTTGCATCGTTCATCATTTTAAAAGGTATTTCTTATTGACACATGTGATGTTTTAAGTGGCAGTGAGTTATGGGACTTGATGGAATTGCACTACCAGCTGTTTGTTTTTCTGCTGAGCTACATATCCCGTAAAATTAGGATTATGTTGGTAAAAACTGGGTGTGTCGACATGACACCTGTTTGTCTTCTATTATTGTCCTAAGACGTAGTGAGGGCCTGCTTAAATCACTAGGCTAACTAAATTTTCTATCCATCAAAATTCATCGTTTTGACTCCATTTCAAATTGTTCTATTCTTCTGATTACTTAAATGAGTCGCAATCTATACTCGCTCACAATTTCAAACAACTTCCTGTCTACCGATAAGGATTTTTCGAAAGAAATCGAGGAAGAACACTGTGGAGTAGCATTGAAGTATACTTCGGATAGAACAATATTGCATCAGATGGTGTATTATCGATTATTATGTCATTTGGAGATTCTTCAAAGAAGTAAATAACTTGCAACGGAACTCGCTGAAAATTCTGTTTTATGAATAGACGTGGTTTTTTAAAGAATAAAGCTGTTGTTATTATCCGGGGTCTTCAATATGTTAGAAATCAATAGTGACACTGCAAATATATTTGTAACGGCTGAAGAGAACTGGTAGCGGTTCTTTATTAAGGAAAGGTATCATATTTATACATTTTCAGCCACATTGAGATTCGGCTAGTTCAGCGGACAATAAATTTTTAATTGGTTGGTTATTGGCCCAAAGTTAAACAGTAACACGAAAAGTTGTCCAACGAGGTTATTTCATGTTCACATCGTAAACTAGATCCAGATTTTTAGGGAATAGCACTCCTACCTCTGTAGCCATTGACTTAAAATGTTGATTTCAATTTTGGTTGCTTCCTATCAATCTGCATTTATATTACTACTTATAAATCTTTTCGGTAGCACACGCCATATATTCACTCCTCATCATTTTCGAAATTCCGGACATTTACCGGTCGGTTCTTATTCATGTAATTTGACTCACTCATGTTATTTCCATCGTAGTATCATTCCCGTGTGCTTTCTCTTATTTTTAGGGTGCTTGTTGAACTAATACACTTCTCTAAAAAGAAATACATCAATTCTATCCGTCGGTTTTATTCCAAAAAACGACCAGAAGAGACGTTTTGTTATTATTAAAAATAGGCGAAATTTCTATAACTTAAGCAATTTCCGAACGGTATAGCGACTACGAAAGTTCAATAATTTAAACCACTCGAGTTGTTTTTCGTCGTTTCAGCAGGCGAAAATTTAATGCCAGCAGAATACTATGCCAATAGTTTGTAGTACAAGGTGATCAGCACCACCCGATGGACTACACTTATTCTCAAGAGATGACCATCTTCCTACTATGTCGGCTGTTATTCCTAAATTCTGCACTGACTGACAGCTGCAGCAATTGAACTGACCCATCCATTTGCCATAGAGTTTTATTTTTTGTATCAGTAATAGTTCTAATAGCTAATGCTTAACACGTCACAATGTTTTTCAGAAGGGTTAACCAACTTGCAATCTGAGAAGTGGCCTTCTGAATACGCTGATAGCCTTTTATTCCTTATAAGTAATATTTGTGAATATTCATATATTATTCCTATATGTGGTTCATAGTTTTAAAACGTCATATTTATGTTTCAGCATCTGATTCTCTAACTATTGCGCACAAGTTAGCAGATCTCTTGCGTCTTTTGGACAGTCCTCAAGAACATTTGTTGGCCAGCTTAACGGTACTCTTATGTCCATTAGATACTAGCTCCAACGACAAAGGAGTTATTCATTCTGAAAAATTCGACAAATCCTTCGCTACTTGGCTACAACGGCACTTTGATGAGCTTAACAAGCTGAATGATCCAGCTGATGAAGAACGATGCGAGTATATAAACCGTTTACTAAAAGTTTTGAAATGAGATTAACCAGTATGAAATCGATATTTTGTAATAATATATTTCACGTCATTTCTTTTCCATAACTAACTTCTTATGTACCGAGTGATTATTTGGTAACTCTCTCTTCATCATAAGATATTTGCATTATGCATTACGCCATACCAGCTGCTAGGTCAAGTAAATGTGTACGTCTTAAGGGTGTATTTGTTTACAAGCCCGGTTGGATGAATGTGAAAAGTCGTTATATGGAAACCGCAAAGACTCTAATACATATTTCATAATATTAAATCTTAAGTGCCTTGCGACTAGTTTCTAGTTAGGTGATGATCAAAGAGCGTATAACCATAAGGGTAAACGAGTGGACAGTTTACTTTTTCAATTTCGATCCAATCAAGTAATGAGTTTCTAGGATACAGCTTGTAAGATGGAACGAGGTTAACATGTAGCAGCATTTATCATCTTCAAGACCGTCGTCGCTTACAACTGTTTGTGCCAAATATTTATACACGTTACAGTCCGAGACGCATACTTCAGAATATGATATGAGATGACCGAAATCAGACACAAAAACCCAGCTGTCTTATAGAGATGTCAGTAATGTATTTTGAACTGAATTCTCCAAAGCTCACACTGATGGTTTATCGATTTAAGAGAAAAATCGAATCACAAATGTCGTGACAGCTCGTAGTTTGGAAATTGATTGATAAGTATACAGTGATCTGAATTAGTGAGGATATCAACCGTTTAATATGTATAGTGTAACAACAATACATAAGCAGAATTTTCTGTTGGAGTTGACGGTCTGTGACTGATTCATTTAAACATTTTTGGTTGGCCGAAAACATAAAAGTTGCTTGTCGACAGTTGGCTGCAAATACGATAAAGAACTCGTATGGATTCACTGAGTCATGTTTACTAGTAGATGGTAACACTAGTTGCGGTATTTTTCATTTACAAATGTATGTTTTCATGAAGCCATAAAATTCAAATGTAAGCGCTTTTATCAGTTTGTTTCATTAACATGTACCGGAGTTGTCTAATTTTAAATCAACATATGGATACTATGAAATCAATAGGGGTGTCACTAGTTAATTTCTCCGTGGTTAATCCGAAGAACACGAAACTTGAATAAACAGTCAGAGAGGTGACATTTAAAACCGCGTAGGTTGGCAATGCTCTACTCTAGTGTGCGATAATTTATACGTTCTATGCCTTTCGGTTTTTAGAACATCAGAATAACAGTCATACCAGAATTGAACATATGAAATATGGAAGTAATACGTCCAGTTATCTGGACAACGAAATACAGATGACAGTTTAGCAACCGACTTATCCGAAAAGCATGTGGAATACAATTCACTTCAATTGTAACAGATGTTAGATGAGTATAAACACCTCATGCAGAAATTGATATGCTCCATAAACAAGTTTTCAGAAGATCTGATAATCACCACGAAGTGTCTAGGACATAACGCCTGTCAACAAGTATAAACAAAGTTAAGATGAAAGCTTGAAGATAGTTATACTTAATAAGAATTCTGTATTCATTTGTCCTGACTTCATAGGTGGTGGTTTTCCGAGAACATACAGCTTCAAATAGTGCTAGTTAGTGTATTCAATCACTTTACTTCAGTGTATTATTGACTAAGTTCGTTAGTTACATAAACAGGCGTCCAGTCTATGCTACTTCTGTGCACCAATTTGTGTAGGTGCCTATGAGCGAATATCACGCTTAAATATTTTCACTGAAATTCTTTCAAAACAAGTTAAAAAATCTCAGGTTTCATGGAGTTCACCAACGTAAAAGCTGATTTGTTTTCAAAAGGCGAACACTAGTAATCTTTTCCTTGACTCTTGTTCCCATTGAAACTTCAGGTACTCATATACTCCGAATTGATACAAACTAATTGTGTTTTGCGATTTACTTAATTACTGAGGTTAGCAATCTTGCATTCCAAGTCTCAATATCGTGTAGTTCGTTAATCTTCTGCGGAATCGATGTCATGATTGAAAGCGATTATATTTTGTAAAACAAGATGTTAAATTCCCGTATAAATTTATACCTTGATATTTCATGTTGCAAACAGCTGACAAGATATCATCAAAGTGAATCAAATTGTTTTCAATCTCATAAAAAAAAATTTGTGCATGGAGCATATTGACTTGTCCGTTGCGCTTAACCACATACAACCGTCGAAATGTCAGTTTTGTCCAGGAAATTGATATTGTCCAGTAGTTACTATAAGATTGATCCCGAAATCACATCGTTCTAAGTGCATCCTTTCAAGACGTGTTAGAGAACACTATCCTATATAGCCAAAGAAAGGTGGCACTGGGTCTGTCATAGGCGCTATAAGTGAACACCTATCACATCTCGACTGACTCATCATTCAGAATCACTTACAAAGGAGACAAAAGTCTACTGAAGGTAGTGTATTTCCGACTTCTTTGGACTGCAAAAGTCCTGATCATATGCATCGAGAAGCCGGAACTGTGTTCAAAATAAACTAGCCCAACCTTTACAATTACCATAGGTCCAGTTCTGTTTGGCTTCTTAGTTGTTTTTTTGATCTTCTGTTATGAAACTATTCTCTTTCAATTTGTTCCTATGCCTATCCCGTTCACATCTGTTTTCGTCAAAAAATACTTCATATGTTAGCAACTATCTTTTAATCCTATGCAATTTTGTCCGTATACCCTTCGTGACCTATATTCACACTCGTATATCAAGTTGAAAATTGCCTCCTATAATCTCCCTTCGTTACCACGTTGAATTAAGTAATAACTGTAAATATGTGAACTTATGTATAAAGATGCTTTTATACAGCTTTTTAAGATGAGATCACTGAAAAGATATCTCTTTGCTAGGCTTCTTGTTCTTTTCTCCCTAAGTAACAAGTGAATTCATAGTCCGTGTACAAGCACATCACAGCTCTAGAGGTTCTTCTCTAAATGCTGACAAATTAGGAAAAGCAATATAAATAGATGTCATGAACTCCTGGGTGTGAAAACGGTTTCCGCTAATCCCAGTTGAATTCCTGGTCTCCCATCTCACTGATTACAACTTCCTATTTGAAACCTGGATTTTTTTGTCGTAGATTCACAAACATGTGCATCAACTTCATAGTCTTACAACTATGCGGCCAGTATGTCCATATCTATATCAAACCCAACATTAAATATGCAGTTCTTTCTTTCAAGTTTTAATAGTTTCGACTATAACTCTACGTACGCATTTAATAATGGTATTCACTGATTCATCTGCAGAGCTCAAGGACCAAGTCACTGAAGAAATTACCTACGCAAATATTTCATTTCTTGAAAACTGGCTCCCTAAGAGCCGATGTACAGGGTGTTACTGTTCACCAATGTGTTAGATTGGAGCTCAATCGTGCCACAGTATCAGAAAATCTTACCTGCAAGATTCATCTAGTAATGAGTTAGGAATCTGCATTCCCGACAAGTAGCAACAGTTCGGCATGATACGGGAAGTAGATACACTTTCCTGACTAGTACCAACAAGAGCGAAATCTACGTTCTTCAGACCGTTCAGCACTAATTTTAAGAACGCGATACTGCTAAGTGTTCCGGACTATAGTGACCACACTGCTAACTTGACTGATAAAATTCAATCATAACTAGATGACGTCACGTTAACATTTCCCTAGTGAGTAATACATGCATTAAAACTACTCTTAATTCTTCGTTATGGTGTACTGAGAAACCAGACTGATTAAAATGACGCGCTTTTTTCAGACGGACAAAATATTAAGGTTTATCTCCCCTAATTCTTCGAATAAAATAAGCCCATGATCCTTAGATAGATGAACACATTCCATACAGTAATTTAACGAACATACATGAGAACACGCATCCACATCGTTTCAGTCATACCTAAGTATAAAAGAAATGAGTAACTTTCACTGAGATACAGAAACTTGCGAGGAAATGGCAATTAATAGTATCAAGCAACAATACCCAACGCTGAGACTCCCAGAGAAGTTATAGATGTTTCAAAGGACGTTAACTGGTTCAGTTATGCGTTATTTTATTTATCGGCAAGCGAAAATTTTACTAAGTCAAGAAAGTCCTTTTTGTCAACAATCTAAAGTCGTGCGAACACCACAGAACCGTCGGATGTTTGACACCTAAATAACTTAGAAAGTCGCATCAATCATAGTGAACTGACAAGAAATCTTTCTCTGATGCCTACTGAAGTTCATCTCTTCGAAAAAGTTGTTACATATTGCAAACCACAGAGAGGTCATAGTACAACTCTGTGGAAAAACAGCTCAAAATGGTTGATTCAGGAAGTCTATTTTTGATACTTAATACTATGTAAGTCATCGAAATCTGGTAAATAATAGAAATTAATTGCATAATTGATTAAACGATTAGGATAAAAGGACAAGTGCCCAGTCCCCTATTAACTAGCAAGACTTTCAGACAACTTTTACCAACATCAAACGGACGCCGTTGTGAGAACGACTATATGGAACTGAAAAGGTTTAAGACGGATGTTCTAAAAATAGTTAGCTAACCATCACCAAGTGTGACATAACATCAGCATGCTTGGTAATTAACATTGGTGCGTCGGTGGCACAGTGGTTAGGACGCTCGCAGACCGTGCACATAGTCCAGGATTCGATCCCCGACCGACGCACTCCTTTACTTCGCTAAGCCAGTAAAAAAGCTGGTAGAGAGGGAAGGTAATGCATGAGGCTAGCAACCCCACCTTGTAAAAATAAACACTACTACCGAAACTTCAAGCCTCAAGCCCATGTTCTACTGGTTGTTAACATCATACAGCTACGTGTCATATTGTCACAAACACCGTCTACCAAATATCAGACGGGAAAATAAACTTCTTCTGAATGTTACTGGCCCGTGGACGAATTTGCAGCTAGAATGTGTCAAAGCTGCACAACTACCAGATGGGAAGATTAACAAAATGGCCTCACTAGATAAGTTTGGAACTTATTGTTTCTTTGACACTCCTAGCCAGCTGTTACGTTAACCATACGAATATTAGAACGAGTCAATTTTAACAACTGGTCTTGGTGTCTGTTTGGATACGTTGTCC